TGATCAATATTATGGAGAATTGAATACATTTCGCCAAATCAGGCTGAAAAGGTTAACCTTTATAGTAATGTGTTAAGCTATAAATCAATTTCAATAATAATGGTAAGAAGTCATGTTTTTGAAACAGTGTGTTCATCAGACAAATTTTGGAGCCGAGTAAAGCACTGATTCTCGATAAAAATTTATTAATATTAGTTTTTTTTAATTAAGTTTTTCATTTAACTGTTTAATAGTTAACTTCTGATTCAACCAGTTGACTTAAGCCGAAGCGAGATCAGCGAAGATGCTCATTTTTATGGTGGCGAGCCGCCTGTAGATAGAATCACAGAGTAATGATCGTTCTTTTATTGGGTGGTGAGCTGTTTTGTTTTGGTGGTCATGGTTTTACTTTGTCGTAGACTTATAAAGGTCATAAAAATGATAACGCCACTCATGAAAGATAAATGGCTGACACAGCCAACCGTTTAAATCATCTATGGAGCATTATGTACAAAAAAGAAAACCTCTTAAAGATCTTGGCTTTTCAAAAATGTTTGACGTATAAGCGAATTAATTACAGCGAAGTTAACTAGAGCCAGTTGTGATTGTCAAGTGAATCCCAAACCTATACTGTAGTTGTTAACGTCCGAATGTTGTTACTAAATATTTAGCTTATACTTGGTGAAGGTTTTTAATTTGCTGTCGTTTTATCATTCTCACTGTATCGAATAATGACACGAAAAGATCTGGAAATCAAGGAGGAAAATGCCAAAGAGATTGACTTCGTCGACAAGGACATAACAAGCTTCGGGGATATCGCCCATGTTTGTGAGTTTAAACCGCAGTTTCAGCGTATTTGTCATTTTTGTATAGCATTCTTTCTTTATAGTTGAATATGTCCAGCTGACCTGTCTGTCTTTAAGTCACAACAAAATTACTGGTAAACTACAACGTGTTCGGAGTTCGAAAATATCAAATAATGGTGCATTTGTTTATTACAGTCGTTCCTCCCGGCATTGCCGCTTTGGTTAATTTGGAGGTGCTGACTCTCTGGAATAACCGCATTGAGGTAGTGAAAAGTACCTGTTTTTTCTATATGCCTGTGTATTGGACTGATTTCGTAGCATTGTTTATCAAATGATTTCTTGGAATCGGAGATCTATATGAAAAAAAAGTTTGAAAGGGAAAACTCGCCAGCCGACTCATTTAGCATCATTGTAAAATGCGTAATCTACGTTGCTTCGCGAAAATCGTAAACGAGCTTAAATTATTTGTGTTCTCGCTCAAACCAGGTAATAGCAAGTATTATCATTTCGATTCAAGCAGTTAGCTCCGTGATTTAGAATTCCGTGACCCTCATATCTATCCTAAAGATTTGACCGTACGAAATGTCTTGCTCCTTCAGATGATGAACACGGCAGTTTAAAAAATTTTTGCTTCGTCGAATTTCTAAGTCTTGACTATCAAAGGCCATTACGACAGTTACTTTCTCAATTTTTATACCAGCCATCAAGTATCGTTTATGTCGTCCGTCATATGGCCTTCTTGCCTATCAAACTTTATCTTTTGTTGATGGAGTCGTTTTCAGTAGATAATAATATGTAGCTCCTCCAAGACCAGATTTCATGCCGCACTGCACTGTTCCCTTGCTCTTAGTTGTGTACGGGGCCATTTCTTTAGGCTACGGCATCATGGTATTTGAGCACTTGCTGTGCCAGATGCACATCGCGTCATTTTGTCCATTAGAGTCATTTCGCGCTCATCAGGAACTCTATTTCACGAGACGGTATAACGCATTTGCTACAGCGTAAACTGAAGTTGTTTGTATAAAACATTAGGCATACCTAAAAGGGCATGATGAGAACGTCATGCTCATTTACCATAATATATGTCAAACAGCAAATGTCATTCCAATTCATATTATTGCTGATTCGAATGTGCTTGTTACTCAAGATTTCTGCTTCAGATTTGTGTGATACTTGCCATCATTTCAGTCAGTTAAAAACTGTACTCCTTAAATTCTTGAGAGTAGCGCGTACATCGAACTGACACAGTATTTTCAGTATTAGCAGTAAAAGTATAATTCATCAGATCTACAGGTATGAACCAATGGAAACACAAAGAAAAAATTAAAAAATTCATATATAAAAATATGCTGAATAATATCTGAATGTATGGATTAGTAGTAAATCGATTCGATCAGACAGTTTTTCCGCTGCTCATCCGAGTTTTTGAGATTACAGGTTATCTGTTTGCTTAGATTCTTAAATGGTTGGAGACGTGTAGTTCTTCTGAACTGAAACCTTAAATTGGATTTTAAAAGGGCTTGTTAAGGGGCAAAGAAGATATTCTGTTAGTGCAGAAGGATTTATTCATTTCTATCATCTGTCGAGTATAGTTTGGAGCTTTTGGCCGTTTACGGGTAGCCGTGGTTTCTTCACAAGGTAGACAGATTGGAGAATAAATTCATCACGCTTTCTTTGAAGGTTAATTAAAACAGTGGCACAAGTGCTTTCGTACGGGTCTGTAATGCGATGATGGTAAATCGAGTCGTAGCGTAAACGTTGATGAAAGGGCAATGCATGGAAAAAGGAAAGTTTGTAACCATTGGAATATCGGTTATTCTTACATCTTCATAACGAACATGTTTCCGGCACCCTTCTTTTCATGAAATTAGTGGTTGGGGATGATCTCCGTTTCCATGCTATCAGTCATGAGTGCCTTATTTTAAAGACAGAGTTTGTACCAGATATGTGGCAGTCATGCTATGTAGTCGTCTCCTGTTTACTTCTCACTGAGTTGTACTGATTTATCAAGATCGGAAGGAAGAAACGCGAGTGATCCGACCAGGGTTCGAACCCGGGATCGATCAACCGACCGAGCTATCCAAGCCGATAAAGGAATACCGTGCCAAAGTTTTGCACTGTGTTGTAACCAAACTATTCTGGCTTATGCACCGATTCAAAAGTTCTTGTTTACTTTCACCAGTCATGTAATGCGCTTTTTCAGATGTGATAAAATGTTTTGTGATTTGCAATTTTTTATACACGTAGTCCAATACCTCGTTTATTTTCTGACTCATTTTAGGACTTACCACCATCGATCTCATCCCTTGCCAAACTTAGAGTGCTAAACTTGGGGTAAGCAATAACCTCTGTTTCGATTTCATAGTGATTTGAATCTTCCAAGGATGAATCGTTTGTGGACCCTGCCCCGCGGATTCGGCTCCTTCAAGGCCCTTGAAGTGCTGGATTTGACCCACAACAATATTAGCGAGAAAAGTCTTCCGGGCAACTTTTTTATGATAGGTAACTTTGCCATGTTTTTTTAGTTTTGCCTTGTCTCATTGAACTCTGTTTCCAGAATCGTTGCGAGCCCTGTATTTGGGTGATAATGACTTTGAAGTACTGCCGCCTGAAATCAAGAACCTTAAAAACTTACAAATTGTAAGCATGGCGCCGAATTGTGATTTTGTAATTGATCTAGTTTTCATTTAGCTCGTACTCAGAGACAACAATCTAGTCAGTCTTCCATCAGAGATCGGCGAACTCGCTCGTCTTAGGGAACTTCATCTGCAAGGAAATCGCTTGACTTTATTGCCACCGGAAGTCGGTAGGAATTGTCAATGTGGAAAGGATTTTCTGACTCGCTGCAAAATAATCTCGGAGTTTGATAACGATTTACTATGAACAGATAAAAACAAATGTTCTGATTCCATAGTTATAGACGCGAGGAAAGGAATTTTTCACATGTTGAGGTTTAATGTATCAACTGTATTGCCCATCAGTGGGGGTAGAATTGTCTGAATTAAAGTTCATACATTCCTACATCGAGATTGTATATTAAGTGACATGTAAGCAATGGCAATAATCTTATGATTGCTAAGTATACAAAGGTGTAGTCTTCATCTTCTATAATCGCTTCCCCTTTCGAGTCACGAAGGCAGGCGCGTCATACGCACTCAATCATGTGCTACTCTGAGCTTTGGCAGAAGGCTACCGGAATCTAGAGCAGATTCCGTCAGTACACATGCACCTGGTTAAACATGGCCGTCCCTTGAGTCTTTTGCCCATCGGCTGGGCAACTAGTAACTGCACTGCCTTTCATTCTGAAGGTGTTCACAACTTGTGTGCCCAAACCATCACAGCTGTACATTAAGGCTTTCGCGGATTTCTGCACTCAGGACCATGTCGAGACGCATAAGGCCAGCGATTCCTCACGCAAAGTCCATTTTATCAGCTCGTACACGGGATTGAATTTTTTTCAGTCATGGGTCGCGACTTCATGACAGTAATTGAGCTTGGGAATCAAGCTGTACCTGAACATCCAGAGTTTAGTTTTCACACTCAGTTCTGCTTTAGTCAGCACGACTCGCTCTAGTTCCCGCGGAACTCCACTGGCTATTCCGAGCCGTCGATGGATCTCTTCCTCCCATCTCTACTGAACACGACTTCGAGTTACTTGAGCTTCTCCACCTGCTCCACAGCTGCTCCCTTTTCTGACGAGAGTAATGGACAGAACAGCGAGAAAGCACTAAGCTTTTCGTTGTACCTACGTTCACACGCGTCCCGGCTACGTCGCACTCGGCCGCGAATCTTTCCATAGAACGTTGTAGATCAGTTTCAGAAGATGCCATCAAAACAACGATACGATTATCAAATGGATCATCGACTTATGTGTACAAGTTTTCCTATACAAGGTATACTGATGCACCTTCTTTGCTCAAAGATGTTCATAATAGACAGTGCGTTGTTTGCAGAAAACCGATATTGCTGAGGGCGCTACGACCGTTCTTTATAATCACGCCTTTCCACTTTCAGTGTCTGCTCTGACATTAAAGTTAAAATCGCCCATGAGTATGGGATACCCTGTATTCGACATTTCGTACAGAGCGCACTTCACTTCCTCAAGGAAGGTATCATATTCTTCCTCCAAATTGGGCGCATACACCTGTACCAAGGTCAGCGCTGTAGCCTGTTGTAGCTTCTTTTTGAGGATTGCCACTCTTCCTCTGACAGGCTTCTATTCAACGAATTTGTCAGCCAGGTTGAGTTTGGTCTACTAGGACACCAACACCGGCTTGAGCACTGTCGTGATATCGAAATCTAACTAGAATGGCTTCCACCCGCAGTGGTTCAGGATTCCAAATCCTTGGCGCTCCCAGGACGAGTGTCCGACTTTGTCACGTTGGTACCTTG